TGTTTCTGCGAGAACAACGAGTGGCTGCGGCTGTCTAACCGCTATCTTCAGTCGTAGTTCCGAAGGAACTGTGTTACACATTAACTGCCGGCTAAGGATTAAGTTCACGGTCACCTCTGGTGATTGCACTGTTAGTTTCAGTATTCTCGGGCCACCGGTAACCGTGTAATTGTTTCGAAGTATGACGTCGCCCGCACAGAGAGCTTCACGGAGGCAGCTCCATTCTTCCAAGTCATGAGCGTGGGCTTCTTCGTTGTTGTTTGGAGGTAGCTCGGGCACGCCAAGGACGAAAATAAATGTTTTTCTACTCTCTATGTGGTGGTCGTTTGACTTATTTTTGTCCCACTGCCCTTCGCTCCATGGAACATCCGGAAATATGCGTATTCCAGTCCGCAGACGGTATGCCACCAAAAGCATCGTCTCGATATCATCCATTGATCCCAATGTTACTCGCAATAGCCAGGACTCTTCGTAATGATTCAAGGTTGCATGTCTAGTGATACGCAGTGTGATAGTCCGACTGGCTTGAACTCAGATTTTATCACAAAGGAAATTCTATTGGTTTAAATCATCCAGCTGTCGTAAGTAGTTTGCCTTGGACTCAGGGACGTTGGTGCATATAAGTGTAAGGCTCTGTAGTTCTGCCTGTTCGTCGGGGATGGGGGAATCACAGTTATGGAGGGATGTAGTGACGTCTCTGCGGGTTGCATCTAGTCCTTGACCCGTTTTACGTCTGTACTGGATGAGCCTACTGAGGTCGCACTTTGATTGTACCGAGCAGCAACGATTGCATAAGTGGATCGGTCTTTAGATCTCTTCGGATTTCGATGGTCAATCGGAAGGACGGGTCTTACCGATGTTGCATCAATTGTGACACTGGATGAGAGGATGTGAGCGGTGGGGCTAGGCATGCTTCCATCGGACGCGACGACGACTTGGTTCGTGGTTTCCAAGGTATCTAATATTGCGTGGCCGTGTGAGTACCTGACCCTTTTCATTGTTTTCGAGGTAGCAATTAAGGGAGACGGATAAGGCTCAAGATGCACTGTTGTCGCCACAGCGAAGCAATTTTTGCTTTGAAAGGGTGCTCAGTCTCGCTGTCTGGATTGTCGTACTTTTGGTTAGCGTTAGTGCGCATTTTACAAGTGAACCGTCGTACCCTTCGGACAGAGACAAAGTGAACCCAGCGTATTGTATTTCTTTATGTCGGTTCCACAGACCTTGACGAACTTCGAATGGTACTGGTCAAAACAATGCGTACAAGTCAATCCTACCTTTACTACCTTGGCGTAAGATCGATTTGCTTCAAATACTTCTTTTCGGGTTACCGGATGTGGTGGTCATGATCGCCGATAACGGTAGAACAAATTCAAGATTTCGGACACAGACTGCAGTTGGGCCAATCCAAGAGAACTCTTAAATTAGCCAACTTTTCACGGGTTGAACAACACATCAAAAGAAAACATTGGTGCACGATTCACACTGAAACATCACGTATAACAGTAATCCCGAAACAAAAGTGGAACCCAAGACGGTCATCCAAAAATCCGCGGCGTCCTTGGGTACTTCTATGCTCAGTTGTAGGACTGGTTGGCTATCTAGACCAGTAAATGACTTTGATTTTTGCACCCAAATCTCATCATCAACGGGAATGTCAATCTACGCCTGTGTGTACAATGCATTGTTGTTCCCCATCCACACGGTAAGTACCGATATCGGTGTGGCGATGAACCTAGTACTATGGGATGGCGAATGAGTGAGTGTGTGTGCGTGCCTGCTTGTGCATTGGCGCTTTGGTAAACAGCCAAGCGGACATAGTTAACCCGACTAGGCTATCCTCGGTAGGACGGCTTATCTGCGGATATTCCAACTCTTCACCAGATGGCGCCCAAAGTACTCAATTGATTCTAAATTCAGCGGATTGATGTCCCACCACGCCAAATGAGACAACCACTGTTAACTTGCACCAGAAATATTCAGGTCCAATTTAATGGAATGATATCGTGACAACTAGGCGAGGTGACCATAGGATTATTACAAGGGAAGTCGTTGGCGAACGTCACCATGAGAAAATTGGAGAGCAACTAGTTGAACGTATCCATCAACAGTTTAATGCACGATGGTCCATATGTGGACAGCATACCTGACATCGCGGATAGTATTGGTCCACTTTAACTCCGCACATAGTGACATAAAATTCACTTCGAGCCAGAACGCAACTACTCGTTGGCAGTTTTTGATATCCAGGTCTTTCATTATCACCATCGATAGGGAATCACTTGGGTTAATACGGAGTAGGGTTCACCGAAAGGGAACTTAGAATGGGCAATATTTCCACTTCATTAATTTTGTTCCAATGAGTCGGAAACAAACGCTCGCCCGTTGCCTGACGGCGAGAGCGAGGATGATACTTACAGATGATACGGTTTCAGATAAGAAGTGTGTTATTTGGAGCGTGTTCAAATGTGATGAGTGCCCGGAAAATATAATCCATTGTCACATGAAGCCCAGACTGCCAAAGACGAAGCCTGTTTTAACGAAAGAGTGATTGACATATTTATCCTTACCGGTTAAAGGTGACGCGATGATATAACGGACTACCCTATGGCTTCCATAGCCATAACGAGAACGTTCTTTCCGTCCGACCTGCGTGCAGGCTACAATTCAACTCCAATTGTGTTCCATCACTCTCGGTTTCAGATTCCCTTTTGTGTGCACTGAATCTGCTCGTGTCCAGCTAGGTAAGTTGGGAAAACGATCAGGCGACTGTCCGTAAGAGTTAGAGAACATTGCCCAACTTGACTCTACAGAGGTGTGAGAAAGAAGGTGACGAGTGCAGTGTTGTCGCACTTAGTGGAATGCGACCACCAAACTAATTCGCATGACGTGCTCACTCACGTAGCAGCTGCTGTCGACAGCAGAAGTGATCTCCATACGGCTCCGAAACATGGACCCGTGTCGAATTGTCTTCAGAGTTTCCTGCAAACCCATCACTTTACCAATCGTCAAATATTGCGTAAACTGTCAGACCAAAACCATAATAGGGTGACAAAGTTTTAGGACACTTTCTGTAATTGGAAGGAATGTGGGAAATCCCATGTGCAGGCGTGGGTTGTTTTTTAAACCTTGGCATCAAACAGTAAATGTATGTCAGGGCAACAGTAGGGGGTGAAGGATGACTACGAAAGACAGCCGCAAACTACCTTTGACAGTTTTAGTTGTACTGGGAACAAGTATGGAATGATGTCTATCCTGGAGATGGCAAAAACATAAATTAAAGCCCACTATTTCAGCAAGTAATCGGTTAACTTCGACTGTGTATTGATTGCGAGGCTTCTGCTAACTTCTATTCCTTTGCGTGACGTCCGACAAATGGAAGGTTGGCCACGATGCCACTAATTTTACCAGTTGACCTTCCTTTTTTTGGTACCCGAAGACCATTAAGCGACCTACAAATTTGACGTAGATCTGGAAGAGTTGTACATTATGTTCGCTGCGCTTGATTATCACGTGATTCTCGGTCAAGGTCGTTGGCATTTTGACTTTCCTTCGGTTGGGCTAGAAGTCTTGAGGGCGATCTTGGGTTTTTAATTCGGAATAGTGATGAAATTCGGAAGATCTAACTGTGTTGATCAAGCAGTTCAAAACACTGGGTAGCGTAGATAAATGAAGGAGGAAATTCTTATCCAAGATATACTTCCTCTGGATAATCAAGTACCGAAGTTTGTTTCATGAACACTTTGTGTGGCCAAGTTTACCAACATTCGGCTTAAAATACTCCTTTTTTCACAAAACCAGCGCTAAGTGCTGTTGTGGTAGAAAGTTAAGGCATGAGGTGACGTAGATTCAAAGACGGGGACTTCCCGATCAGCGAGACGCAATTCCCCCACAAAGCCACATACACAACTCCCACTACATGAAAGTTATTATGTGGCCATTTCTAACGGCAATCTGCTTATAATGCTTTGTCCAAATGCGGCAATTCAGAGGAGTGCACCTGACAGCCTGATCAACTCGCTGTGTGCCTCGGCGAGCGCTTGCTAAATGATCACTGCTCTTACGTCGGTAACTAATTATTTTGCTCCGAGTATTCGTCACTAGCATTACGTGAATTAATACGACTCGAGACTACAGTGATCCTCAACTGGAGAGGATTCGACGTAGGGTCTTCGATGAGTCTGACATCACGTGAACATTCAGCCTTGCTGCACGAATCTGTGACATGACCCTACCCGAATCTTGGGTTCCCGGTCAAAGAAATACTTACATATGGTTAGACTCATGGGCGACTGGCAAAGCGATATAGATGGATAATTGGAGGGTCAAGTTTGGATTACACGTTGTGTGATTGGATTGCGACACGCAACCTCAATTTGATGGACTGTGATTCACATTGAAATGAACCTTAGTCACTGCGATCACGGGGACCGTATTCAAAGTAGATGGAAATTGGGTATTGCCCACCCGAAAATACTGCACAGCCACGACGCGTTTCGATGTAATTTCATCTCATCAGGTGGAGACAGCAGGATTTGAACCCACGACCATCGGAATAGCAGCCCACACTACTACCCCTTTGGCTACCGGGTCACGAGGGTCGTGGGTTCAAATCCTGCTGTCTCCATCTGATGAGATGAAATTACATCGAAACGCGTCGTGGCTGTGCAGTGTTTTCGGGTGGGCAATACCCAATTTCGATATAGATGGATTTCTAATGGGCATCCAAGTGCTGGTACTTTTTAATTGCATTGGCGTTGCGTCTCAACTATATCGATATTACTTCTTTGTCACGGTGTGGACAATTTGTTGGTGTGAACTAACTGTGATCAAAAATCTCCAATATGACTTATAAACTCGACCAAGCTAACCGTCCGTATCACAGTCTGCTAGTGCTTGTGACACTACTTGTGATAACGCATCATACAGGAAATGAACCAGGTTGCCAGGTACTTTAAAGGCCACGAGTGAAAACTTATATCCATCAACGTTCTTTTTTTAAGGTGTTCGACCTCACAATCGAAGATGTTCTGACAACACAGTGCCCCCACACACTTTCGTGGATCAGTCCTGCAAAGTAGCACCTGGCCGGCACGATCTTTCCTCGATAAACAAGACTCCTACTAGGCTCGAGAAGGTCACAAATGGACCAAATCACATTACAGCTGGGGAAACTTTGGATAACTCCAGAAATCAAGAAGCCATTGATCCTGGTGACGAAGGTGGACGGTTTGCAGAACCGGTAAGTGGAATCGAGTCCTGATTTCTGATCCAGTAACTAACCCTTCTAACGTTATCACATGTTTTTTCGTGCTGCACGACACCCACTTGGCATTTTTGTTGTAGAACCTCCAATTCAAAGTATTCACGCATTTTCCTGTTCATGGATTTGCTGCTGCGGCGAATGTTTCCCGGCACGAATCATACACTCCTTGACAATCTACTATCTAGCTGATCGATCAGGTAACTGCATCATTTAGCCACGGGTATGTCGCGTTCCTACCCACCTTGGTCGTCTGCTTGGCCATCCCATCTCATTTCGCACACACTCACAGTAACATTCGAGCTAACATCCGCTTGCTTACCTCTCTTTGTTCTCCCATGGGAAATTCGTTGTGCGTGTGTTGAACTCGAGACACAATGCTCGTAACCGCTATCTGACTCTCACAACACAGCGCTCGTTCTCCATGCATGCAGGCAAGCGAGTGACCCCGCTCTCCACAGGTCACCGTTGTTCTACCTAATGTGACTACCAATACACCCCGCCATGTCTGCTGTTGTCTGACTCACGGAGCTGGTTGTTACAACATCACCTCAAAGTATCTGGTAGTCTTCCGGATGTTTCGGCCTAGCCCTCGTCGAATAGGTGGCGCTGATTGTGGCAGTTTGGTCGGCAGCAGCTCGGTTGAGCAAGCACTATGGTGGGTTTCGGACGAACCGTCTACCCCAGTTTGATCGTGGGTGTGTGTGTGTGTGCCGCTTGTCAGTCAGTTAGTGTGTGCTTGTGCGGTCGACGGTTGTGCAGCTTTTACTGGGATAGTGTGAGCAGCTCTTGATGGTGTCCGCGTCGGATTGCGCAGCGGCTTAAACATGTCGACAACCGTGCGCATGTAAGACCGCGGCGCAATGTGATGTACTCGTAATGGCTCAATCCGTGATCACACACGTTCGTGGGGCAACACGACTGAGCAGGTGTTGTACAGCGTTAACAGTGACGGTGATTATGGTGGAGCTAGTTGTTGTCGTGTAGTGGTTTACGAGTTTGACATTTGGGCAGGAATAAACGCACGACTAGGTAATGGAGCACACACAGTTACACGCGGACATCATCTGACTCAATCGAGGATGCACATCTGAGCGTCCGACATATGCGGGCAAGAATCGGGAAATGTCAATGCGTTTCTTGTCCCATTCATACACGTAACAGGTTGTGATGAGCGATGCGCAGAGATTGCATTTGTAGTCCGGCAGCTACATCCAACCCACGCCCGCCAACACACGCTCACCCAATCAATCTCTCACGGTAGTTTGTTTGATGTTGAAGAGTGAATGATTACGGTATCCTATGCTTAAATGCCTCTGGGATCCTTGTAACTCCTCGGAACTGCTTCGCATAAACGCATCTTGCTCCCGTGTGTAGTACCAACATTTTCGTTCCAAAGACGAATGAAACAGATTGAACATCGAAATGGATTTTCACGTAACCCGAACGTTGACCCTAATTCGATTCATCCTGTCGCAGGGCTGGATAAGTTGCATAAGAAAGTTGGCGACTGTGGAGGCGCTGGATTGATTAGGTGAAGCCATTAAGGAAGCTTCGATAGAATTTTGGTGAATGGACGATCTGCTCATTGGCTGCCATAGTCTCGTTGGTCGGATCATTAAGCGAAAAACAGATCACAAGAAATGTGATTCCTTTTAACCGGTAATGGTTTTTCCTCTAGGACCAGCCAAATGGCCGCTGAAGGACAATTTTCAACCAGCGAAGTCATAGATTGTTCTGGAACAGACCTCGGTAGGTTGCAAAATCCAAGGGCATATGCAACATCATTTATCCTCCGTGTGGCCAAGGGTAACAAGAAAAACAGCCTTAGATAGGGGATGTTGGACATTGTGGTCCAACAATTGGCGACCAAACAGTGTAGCCGTTGCTCAGTGACTCAAGCGTCGATGGCAATCGTGTGGTCGGAATTTTGTTTGATATTGATGCCATTTCAGGGTGGTGACGCAAGTCTCCCGGTGACTGAGATAATTCCGTCACTGTACTGCATTCTACCTTCTGATGACGGAATTTAGACACTCAGTGGTTGCACTGGTTCATCTGCTGTCCAGAGATGGGCGCCACCGAGAACGTTAACATTTGGGGAACCTTTGGTCAATTCTCTATCTGTATAAATGCAGTAGAAGTTGGGAATTATTACTGTTGGTCCGATGCTCTGTGAAATACATTTTGTTTGCGTGAGATCACTTTAAGGGAAGTTGGCCGAACCGACGACTCTCGCGACATCAACTTCGTCATTTCTGGCTAGTGCTTCGATTGTCAGGTTTGTGAGTAAACTGAGGCAATAGTCGATATGACCCACAAAGTCTTCAACTCAGCATATTGTCTCGTGTATCTGGAATAGGGAATTGCACTAGGCAATCCAAGACAAGTGTGTTCTACTACACACGACAGCTAATCGGTCATGATACACATACCAGCCATAGTACCCATAATGCTACAAAACACAAACTGAAGCTCAGATGTCTTCAATCTTTTAGACTGCTACTCTATCAGTCTACACAAGCAGATACTCTGCATATCAATGCCACCTGTGCAACTGCTGCCCATTCAGTCACGTTGAAATTTCCGACCCGTTTTCATATGCTTATCCTAATGGAGGGCAGTGGTGGGGCCTACAGTCATTCCTCATCTCGAGCTAACGAACCTTCAAGCGTTGTAATCTGTATACTGGTAACGTTCTCCAATCTGTTGCGGGGAACAAATGATGAGAAAATGGCTGAAGCATACTTGTCTCCTTCCTTCCATCGATCAAGTGCTCAGACGCAACTAGGGTACCCAGGAAGGTAAAGGGAACAATCGCCTCTTTGAGTGGGCATGTCACAATTTTTCTTTGGTGTCCCATTGGGACGCTGCCGTCCCCTTGCGGTCTCATTTGTATCGAGACATCAATGTAGTTGTGGACCCACGTGGGATTTATCACGGGCAGTTTGGAACGGATAGACGCAGAGCTTCGATGCACTTAATTTCGACTCAGACCCGCAACAGACTAGCTCAGGTAGCATTCATCGATTCGGTAGGGAAAAAGACTATAGGTAAACAAACACTAATACCTGATTAACACTTGTAACTGGGGTCTGTGAATCGTAGCGGTGTTCCGAAACTAAAGGTATCCGTGCTGTAGCGTGTCTGTTGCACTTGTTTATAGTATCAATGATCAGTGACTCCCAGACAGCGAGTAAAACATCAGTTAGCAACCTCTGACTTCCACTCAACTCTCAGAAATTTCAGTTCGTCATGAAATTCAGGTGAACACGATAAGAGTTGTACCTGTTTTCGCTCTGTAAGTAGCGGGTATTGAAGTGAGGTTCGAACGCGAGTTTATTTGACACCTGTCTAGTCGGAAATTCGACACTGTCTCACGGTTAGAAGAACAGGGTAATATGTGCAAATTGTGAGAATTTTTGTGATTATTTCGCGTGATTCAGATGGGCAGAAATGCTGCGACGTATACGACGTTAGACAGACTTGAGTCGAGATTCTCGTTAGCTGCGTGGTTGCGACATGTGTCACAGGTGTGGGCAGTAGGTATAAAGTAGCAATTAGCTATCCATTAGACCGGGCAAAATTTCTCCCTGCTCTACTGAAAACGGGCTCTCAGTATTTCTGTCGATATGTGTATCACAACACAATTCACTACCACAGCTGCACTCGACCGCACCATGCGTACGGAATGCAACTCAGGAAAGAGGAAGATAGAGGCTCGACGTCCTTCCTCCCCGATGAAATGTATCCAGGATGGAGCTGTGCGAATGAACCCAGATGGGAAACGTCATCTGTGTTACTTATTATGCCCAGCCATGCATCAGCCAACTGAAAACATGTTTCCGATTCAAATCCACTTCGCATGATCCTCATGCAGTCGTCTCTTATGAGTGCAATGAGTAAATCGTGAAATTCATGTGGATTCGTTAAACACATGTGACCATCGTCTCGCGCATATGTTGATCGGTACGGATTGGATGTGCAGATGCTGATGTTCGCTACGCGTATACCGCCATTGTGTGCACCATATTGTGGCAATCGGTACCTCCAGTCGTCCTGTGTCACCAACCTCAGTGGACCCGACGAAAAGGTTTAGAACTACTCCCTCAGACTTTGCAAACCCAATCACGGCGGCGACGTATAGAACTTATCGTCCCGAGTTTAACATTGCCGTATCCCCACAGTGTACAATGAGGTGCTGAAGTCTGATAGAAACGTGATTAGCGCAGTTTTGGGTCAGCTTTCTGCTTATGATAAACTACCATATGTATTAAGGAACCGAAATATAATCAACCCATTTTGGAACAACCAGACGCCAACTGGGTGCTTTCATTGTCATTGTGGGACCGTTGCGGTCTCCAATAATTTTGTTTTCCGTTTCGTGCTCACTTCTTTTCGTGACACTGCGTAACCGGGCGAAGTTGAGATGGCGGATTCAGTCAGTTGGCGATCGAGCAACTGTCGCAACATCGCCACCGCTCGCTGCTCTTACTTGCGAACCGCAAGTTCTTGTTCGTACCCCTTTGACACTTGAGCGCGAAATGAATTTGAACACATTGTTCCCGATATGGCATCTTGTTTTAAATCTCACGGACACTTCAGACAAACATACAGCATTCAAGCAGGAACTTCTGTATATAATCTTAAACGGAGATATCAACAGACGTAAACTGTGAGAATAATCAGTCATCTGGTGTAAGCTTCTCAATCACAAATCATGCAGAAATCATAGCTATACAAATCGCGAACATATGAGATCACTAGTTAGCCAATTGTTGGCCAGTCTTCACGTCTTCTATGATAGGTGACTTCTGATGGTTTCTACAACCAAAGGGCGCTGGATCATACAAGCGATGAGCTCGACGAAGTCATAATTTCCCAGTGTCAAGCTGCAATCAGTAGTTAGTGGCGCGTGCTGCAGTGATGTTGTAAACATAGTCGCCACATAGATGCATGCAGTATATGTTGGGATTCAG